TGATAAGTTAGAAAGGTGCTATATAAGTACGCTCCATTTACCATTTACAAGTTCATACAGCACTTTACTACATCTGTACAAAAAGATCATCTGAATCTGTAGAGATTAATCAGAGCTTTAATCACATTCATACACCCATGGCAAACACATTGGAGGCAACGAGGGGTTCAGTGTCTTGCCCAGGGACACTTCAGCATATGACTGCTGGTGGAATCGAACCCCCAACCCTCTCATTGGAGGACGACTGCTCTAACCACTCAGCCACATCTCCTCCATATACTCTGTCCCCGCCCCACTTCCCATTTGTGGAATATTAAATGAATACTCAAGGGGAACAGCACAAAGCCTCAAATCCTTTGGGATAAACTTTAGCGGTATTCATGTTCGTGTGTTGTTGTTTTCAGAATTGACAGGAAAATGTCCTGCAGTCAGACGAACTACAAGCTGGACGAGGCTCAAGCCATCTTAAATGAGCTGCGGAGCATCAAGAAGGCCATCAGCACAGGCGAGAAGGAGAGGCAGGACCTCATCCAGGTGCCTGTTGTTTCTTTTTTTTACCAGCAGCATAACTTCTGTACTGTTGGAGTCTGTTTGTATGTGTGATGCTGCCCTCTAGTGTCTGTGAGCTGTTCTGCTGCTGCTTCCTGTTTCATGCTAAAATGTAACATCACAAATATTAAAAGCAAAGCTAAAGCAAGGATGTATTATTAGATAACGAATATTTTATACTTACAGGACAGGGGTACAGTCGGACTTTTTAAAAGCATTCACTCAGTTCCTGCTAATATCATAGTGTGTTTATGCACAAACATCAGAGACAGATTTTTCTTTTACAGTAGTCCCTTGTTTATCGAGGGGCATCCAAACCCTGAAGCCCCACGATAAGTGAAAAACTGCGCAGTAGGAATAGTAGTGCAAGTAGTAAGTAGTAATTTATTTAAGTGTAAACTCTTGCCACACTCTTACAATAATCTAAACAGTGTTTGTAAATTAAACGCTCTAAAAGAGCACAGAATGTCATGATTTCAGCTCTCTGCCTCTGGCTGCACTCTCAGCCAAGCTCACTTCTCTGCTCTCCATGGAAATCAGCTGATCAGCTTCTCCCACAGCTGTGGGTTGCACACCTGTGCTAAATCATTTAAAAATCCATCCATCCATCCATCCATCCATTATCTTTACCCGCTTATTCCATTTTGGGTCACGGGGGTCACTGGTGCCCATGTCCAGCAATCATTGTGTGAGGGGCGGGGTACACCCTGGACAGGTCGCAAGTCCATCACAGGGACACATAGAGACAAACGAGACAAACAAACATTCACTCTCTCACTCACACCTAGGGACAATTTAGAGTTACCAATCAGCCTAACATGCATGTTTTTGGTCTGTGGGAGGAAACTGGAGTACCCGGAGAAAACCCACGCATGCACGGAGAGAACATGCAAACTCCACCCAGAAAGGCCCCTGGACCGGGATTTGAACCAGGGACCTGCTCGCTGAGAGGCAGCAGCTCTACCAGTTGCGCCACCGTGCTGCCCCTCATTTAAAAATATTTATTTTAAATTAAAAATCCATGCCAGTCGTGCAGCTTATCCATCAATCAGCCATTGTGTGTCATGTCCCATCTTACTATGAAAAACTGCAATAGAGTGAGTCCACGCAAAGTAACGAGGGACTACTGTATTATTTAAATCAGGGTCCTCCACCACCAGGCCGTGGACTGGTACCATATGTAAACACTTGATTAATGTACCATTTAGAGCCGCAACAAGCTTGTGTGTGAGTAGAGTAGCTATGATTCTGTCAAGCATCCTTACCCCCCCCACCCCCCTTCACAGTTCTGACCCGAACGCTTCTCTGCTGAATTCAGTCCTGCGTGTTGTTGCTCCTGCTCCACTCTCGATTGCCACTGCACCTGAAGAGGCTCCGTTTGAAGCACCTGAAGGCTTCAATTCTTGGTTGTCCGGTTAAGGACAATCCATCTATCCATTCATTTATTTATGAAAGTAAATTGTACTGTAAGGATCTGGTATTGTTTTGAAACCCAAAATGCAGGGAGGACTTGGACAACTCAGGTAAATAGTAAAGAAAAAGTATTTAATGAAAAGATAAACAAAAGGGCTGCCGTGGCAGCAAAAATGTACATGAATAATACAAGGTCATGCAGGGAGACAAAAACCAGGACATGAAACAGGAACCAGGAGTCTTCGTGAGGAAAAACTAGGGGTGTAACGCAGTGCTTCTCAATTATTTTCAGTTACGCCCCCCCAGGAAGAAGTAAAAATTTTTCCCCCCCCCCCCCCAACTCTCTGCCGCGACTGTAAATAGTATAATTTGTCTAAAAAATTGTTATAAATGCACCTCTGCATAACTTCCATCCATCCATCCATCCATTATCTTTACCCGCTTGTTCCATTTAGGGTCACGGGGGTCGCTGGTGCCCATGTCCAGCAATCACTGTGTGAGGGGCGGGGGACACCCTGGACGGGTCGCAAGTCCATCACAGGGACACATAGAGACAAACGAGACAAACAACCATTCACTCTCTCACTCACACCTAGGAACAATTTAGAGTTACCAATCAGTCTAACATGCATGTTTTTGGACTGTGGGAGGAAACTGGAGTACCTGGAGAAAACCCACGCATGCACGGAGAGAACATGCAAACTCCACCCAGAAAGGCCCCTGGACCAGGGTTTGAACCAGGGACCTGCTCGCTGAGAGGCAGCAGCTCTACCAGCTGCACCACCGTGCTGCTCTGCATAACTTATTAAAATTAATTAAATAAATAAATATAGATCAACTTACAACAAAGATTATTAACATTGTTTTATAGTCTGTAACAGAAAAGGCTTAAAGTTCATCAATTTGTCTGAAATTTAAAAAAATATATCCTTATTTAAACTGTAAACGTTTTTGACCATTTGATACTGAACAATCACATTAAATACAATCAATAAATAATAAATTCAAATCGATCCGCAACATTTTAATTCAGGAGTGTTATATACAACACTTTGACCTACAAAACAAAAATGAATGAAACAATTTGTGCTGGTTTTTTGTGTTTAATCAAAATGAGGAAGTCAGGATCAATGGCTACAATGAGCACGTTTTGCAGTGCACAGCTTTTTGAAGCAGAGTTTGAAACGTGATCCTGCAGCTCTCAGCTCCTGCTCCATGTTTACCTGGACCTGGACCTGGACCTGGACCTGGACGTGGTCTTCAGAGCAGCAACAGCAGAGAAGCTGCAAAGAGCTCAAGAGTGAGCGAGCTGGCTGGGGGGTTGTCCAAGGGAACACACTCACAAGAACCTGACAAGTTGTTTAATGACAAAACATATCTTGTTAGTAAAGAACAGAGTCCTAACATTTATTAAACATTACTTCTGTATTAAAAAACACAAATTGTGCTTTGACAAACTAAAAAAAATAGTTAAAGTAAAAGAGGAAGAGGGGCAGGTCACGCTCCCGCTTTGAGTTTATTCTCTGTCGCATGCGTGCTGTGGGTGACAAGCGTCCAGAGCGTCATCAGCTGGGGAGGTGTCACAGCGACACGGTTCAATCATGGCTCCCCAAACGACAAGACAGACATGTTTGTTCATAACTGTATTATTAGTCAGACTGAGAGTTGACAGATTTTAGCAAACAGTTGCCGAACGCACCCTGACACAATGAGAACGGTGAGAAAAAAAAAAAAAACTACTCCCTGCCACAAAATGTTCCCCGGGTCACTTGCACCCCCCTGGCATTGCTCCGGGGGCGCGCCCCACTATTTGAGAAGGACTGGTGTAATGGTACACGGGGGGTACCGAACCATTTCAGTACGGCACGTTGGGTTCATTCCACATGTGTACCGTTTCGGTTATTATTTCACTCATTAAATTTTATTAACGAGAGATTATGCGCCATGGAACTATAGTTTCTAAGCATGTTTCAGCACGGCGCTATTATCTTGCAGCACACGTAGCATTAGCATCCTAGCTTTTCCTTGCGGTCTCCTGTTTGGGAACATTATGGCTTTCTTGTTAAAAGACAAGTGAACAAATCCAAAGCTGTGTGTCGACGTTTCACGGAGAGTGGATCTGCAGCAGCAACACGTCTAACTTGTTAACGCACTTGAAACGACATCATCCGAACGTGAACGTCTCTTCTACAAGCAAGAAAAGCAGCTTGTTGCAAACACAGATAACAGCAGCATTTAAACAATCTTTATCAGGTCATTCAGATCGGTCCAGATCAATAACGCAAGCTGCAGGAGTTTTTAAAGCTCTGGATCTACGTTTATGTTGTTGATGCGCCGGCTTTAAAGTTATTGAGCCCCGCTACGACATCCCATCACATCAACACTTCAGCCAAAAAGTTGTAGCAGCACTTTATGAAAAAGTTAAAACTGATATTGTCAACAAGCCCTGGAGCTGATTGAAGTCCTGCCCTGATGATGATGATGATGATGAACGAGAGGTTCAACCACTTCATAACAACCATTCAAGAAGAGGTATTGTTCTTTTATTATTATCTAATTAACTTTTTTAATTTAAAATTATAATCTTATTAACTTTTTTTTTTTAACCTATTTGTGTTTTATTTCCAGTCTGTGACAGAGGGACAGCACGGTGGCGCAACGGGTAGAGCTGCTGCCTCTCAGCGAGCAGGTCCCTGGTTCAAATTCCGGTCCAGGGGCCTTTCTGGGTGGAGTTTACATGTTCTCTCCGTGCATGCGTGGGTTTTCTCCAGGTGCTCCAGTTTCCTCCCACAGACCAAAAACATGCATGTTAGACTGACTGGTGACTCTAAATTGTCCCTAGATGAGAGAGAGAGTGAATGGTTGTTTGTCTCGTTTGTCTCTATGTGGCCCTGTGATGGACTTGCGACCCGTCCAGGGTGTCCCCCGCCCCTCACACAGTGACTGCTGGACATGGGCACCGACGACCCCCGTGACCCAAAATGGAAGAAGTGGGTAAATGGATAGATTGATGGATGGATCTGGGACAGAGACAGCAGCTGAGTTTTCTTTATATTCAGGGAAATCCACCAGAGATCACCTCCAGCTAAGAAGTCTGTGATGAATGAACTCTGAACTTTTCCAGGGACCTGTCCCACCTGTGGGAGCAGGTCCAAGAGGTTGTGAGTACTGAGGCCAAATATAGCCACACTGCAAAATTAGCAGTGTGCTACCTCTTTATTCCTGCTACTGTTAGTGAGCGGTTTTCACCACAGCTGGAGATATTCACTGAAACTAGATCTGTGATTTTGGCAGAAAATGTGGACAAGTTGGTCTTTTTGGCCAAAAACTTAAAACTTTACTAGTTAGATTGTAAACGGTCTGTTGCGGTTTATTGTTCTGGTTCTGACTGTTATTGTATTTAATAAGATTTTCATTATTGTTAGTATAGTTTATTTATCATATAGAGTGCCGTTTATTTAAAATATCATCCAAATGGGTCGCTTTTATTTATTTTTATTCAAATGTATTGTTTACTTGGCTTATTTTCAAAATAAACATTTTGTAAGTCTTCATTTTGTCTTTTTTTGTGC